TGCTGCGTGTTCCAGCGGACCCCTGCCCGGACGGCGTCGAGTCGGGATGGGCTCTGCGGCTGCTGCTGCAGGAGCCGCCTGCTCTGCTGGTGCCCAGTAAAGGGGCATGCGGCGTTCCAGCCGTGCCACCTCCTCCAAGGTGGAGCAGCCCGGCTCCCCGGGGCACTTCTGCCTCCCCCCTCAAACACAGCTGTCCCTATCCCAGCACCGCTGCAAGCAGACAACAGCCTTCCCAGGGGCTTTCCGAGGGAGCAGAGCATCCTTCCTCTCTCCTCACCTCCCTCTTTGCTTCCCCTGCCCCGCAGCAGGCACCGAGCCGCCTCCTCCTCCTCTCCGAGGGTGATGCACACAAGCTGCTCGGAACCTTTGCTGCTTCTTGGGAAGGGGAGAGGACAAGGATTTGTGGATACCAATATTCCAATTAAAAACCAAACCAAAGCAGTGTTTTGTCATTGTGACACAAAAGGAAGGAGAAGAGGAAGTCACGGTAACATTTCCCACCGACCGAGACTTTTATAGTGATGTAAAGGGAACGGTCACAAAAACATTTCAGTCTCTGCTACCAACCTACAAGTGAAAAAACCACTAATGCAAAATGTGAAAGAAAGATATTACAAAGACAACCGCCGTACCAACATAAGGAAGCCAAGGAGAACAGGAGGATTACCTATTACACTTTTGGCAAACGAAGCTCTCTTCAGGGTGGCCAGACCCAAATCTCCGATCTTCACAGATCCAGTTGGTCCAGTAATAAAAATATTGTCACATTTTAAGTCTCTGTGAATTATTGGTGGAGTTCTTGTGTGCAAGAAAAGCAGACCCTTCAGGATTTGCCGGCACCAACTACGCAAGACTTTTGGTTTCATCACTTTAAATCTCTTCAGATACCTAGAGCACGAACATACACAGAAATGGTTATTAAGAAAATGAAGTGTTATTAGAGCTTCTAGGGGCTTTAACAGCTGAAATTCCATCCTGGGTAACAGCCCGTTATCAGAAGCCGTAATAGCAGCTCGGAATTATCACAAAATTGAAAGAAATAGATTTTTTCAGAGGAGGAAATAGAGCATTCATTTTTAGGGAGGAAGATAATAAGCATTTCTGGTGCAAATACAGCCAAATATTTGCAAGTCTAATAGTACCAAAATTCACTTCATAAAGAGAACAGCTTTAGAATAGGTTTCATACATTCAGATCAGAACAATACTGAAGCTTGATTTTAACCACGAGACTCTGACCTCTGCACCACGCGCCTGCATTTTCCCCCTGTGCCCACAACGCTGACCGCGAGGTGCGTTTGGGGAAGACGTACAACCTGCTAACGCGCTGGCGGAGCGGCGCACGGGATCTCGGCACTGACGAGTACTGCTCCCGTCGGGGCTGGAAATCTGTTCCAGAATTCACGCCAACTGTTTTGTATCAACCTGAACAAGAGCGCCAGCACTGAAAGCTATTCATTAATATTGTTTAGTAGATAACCTAGAGCATCTTCTGCTTCAAAAAGAGGGTCTACCATTGAAGTGCTATTCTGTCTGGGTTTTCTAACAGAACATGCAAATACAAGCACAAAAGCAATCACAAAAACACACCCTGACAAACGAAAATGTCACAGGCAGAAGATGAAACACACCAGGGAGCACTCCTGGTAGCACAGCCGAGATGCGAG